CGACCAATATTAGACCCGGACTCACTGGACAGCTGTTTCGTCCTAGTGTGGGACTCATCAGTAGTGTGCACTCACGGCGCCTGCTCGCACAGGTCAATAGAATGGAGAACCTTTAGTCTTGAGTGCGAGCGAACACTTAATGTTTAAATCACTGACTCAACATAAAACAATGTTAACGCTTAGAGCTTCGACCAATCCACTGTTTTGCGTGACCTCATCCATTCATCGTCTTCAACGGGCAGCGCTTCAAACTCGACAGAGTTGAACTCCACTAATCACAACTTCTCATTAGATTTTTTGTTAGGCTTAAATAATTATTTTACCGATCTTACACAAAAAAACGAGATTGTCTTTTCATTCATTCGTCCAACACTTAATTATTACGCTGAAAAAAACACAATTTCAAACAAACAAACAGAAAAATCAATTTTTCTGAATTTTAAATAAATCAATGGCCTTATTGATTGATTGACACTTAAAATTCATCTTTAAATGAGAAATACATGTATATATACATACATATATGTATATTTATCCGGCGAGAATTGAAAGCAGACATAAAAGGGATGAACAGTAATTGGATATAGAACTGGAAAGGAATGCCTTAGGCGAGAGTAGGTTGCAGAATGTTGGTCAGGGGTAACAGGTAATCCGATATGAACATGGTTATAGGTAGTTGATAAAAAAACACAACACACCATATAAAATAAAACATGAAGTGATCTTATTCTGTTTCAATTGTTGAATGAAACCTCTTAAGATTTAATATTAATGTAAAACGTGTAATACTCTGACCAACAATACATACATATATTTCAGAGAAGAGAGAAACAGACAGAACACAAAAAGCTTTTAAGATGTAATAATGTCCATATATTAAATTGTTTATGCTGACCATGAATTGAGCATCGATAGAGGTAGTGTTAAGAAAAACAACCGAGCATTTTAAACGCTTAATAGAGTATATGTTCATTGAAATTTGAACAATGAGAAGATTATTGATACATTGAAATGAGGTACATGTGTAGTGAACGAGAACACTGGTGGGGCAACCGAATTGTATTAAACGAAAATTACAGAGTTACTCAGTAAAATCGGAAAATCATATCGTAAATCGTTCATTTGCAAAATATCAGTTCATCATATCGAACTGGACTGTTCCTGTTGCAAACAACATCAATCCATTGTCACTATTCATGCATTTCATACAAATTCCATTGTGTTCTTTTAACTCTTCCTTTCTTGATCTTCCCCCATCTTCTGCTGCCAGACATTAGGTTGACACTCACGTCATATACTACTTATAAGTAGCTCACACCACACATGTACAACACACACATAATTTTATATATGATTTGGCCAGTGTGGAGCACTGTATATGATTGTGAGACATTCTCAAATAAATCAGTTGCAACGTAGAACTAACTTGGTACATTTGTGTGCACATCAGTTTCAGTTACCATATCACATTACAACGCTGAGATAAAATTATCAGTAGTAGTGGTTGTAACACAGTATCAGTGGTAACAGAAAAGATTGATGATCGATGATACGATTGAAAAAGAATATCAATCAGTGAAATAAAAAAAATACCGAACATTTATGAAGAATCCAGAAGACTAGAATTTGTGGGGAAAATGAAGAATGGGGATTCTCACCTGTGCTATTGGCAAACGATTTTGAACCATGTCACATTCATTCAAAGTTTCTTACCACCAGTAGTTACACTGATCACATATGGATTCAACAAGCTAAATTTGAACTCAACTATCACTTCAATAGAATGATTAGCAGTAATCGGATAGATTAGGGTTCGAAGATATTATTATTTAAGAAGTATAGAAAGAGAAAAGTTAGAGTTGATGAAGAATTTAGAATTTGAGAGAACACAAACAGTGAATGCACCTGTGCCATTGCAAACGATTCTAAGCTATGTCGCTCAAGTTCTCTAATCATCAGTTAGTATATATAGTCTTGTGCACCCCAACCAGGTAGCCTACATCTATCTACCAACATAACTAACTCAGTCCGTGGATTTCTACCATGATTTGGTTTGGCCACCCCCCCCCCTAGTTCTCTTCCAACCTACTAACTCCTACTCCTACACCGCAAAACATAGAGCTTTTCAAGGCAGTCGGTGGTCGGGCATTCGTAACACAATAACATTGTTGACATGTTTGATACATATATATATATATATATATATATATATATATATATATGAGAGTCAAAGTAGGAATATAACAAACAAACAAACAGACGAAAAATGGTCTATTTATTCATTCACTTCCAAAACGAACCCAGTGTACACACACACCTCACACACACACACAATATATATATATATAGATAGATAGATATAAAACAATAGTTAACTCGGTTTGTAGAAAGAAAGAAAAACAGTAACACAACGTTATGTAACAAACCATAGCGCTCATTTCATTCTCCTTAATAGATTAAATAAATAATTAAAACATGCCATGTAACAAAATGTATTTGACGAAAATGTTTTTTGAAAGTGGATTAGTGAGTGTATTTATTTTATATGTTAGACAGAAAAAAAAAACAGAACTGACGTTACAACTACCTAAAAACACAACACATTGTACGAATAATTGAAACAGTTAATCGAATTGGCTGGCTATTATTGGCAATACAAAAGTTTGCCTTGTTTTTTTTAATGGAGAAATTTTAAACTGGAATTTAACTACGGGAAAGCGCTAGCTTGTTTTTATATATTCAAAGTATCAATGTTTCATCGCCTAAACTAGTAGTGATAGAGAGTGAGTGAGTGAAGCATTGGAGCGTGTTAACCGCTTCATTTATCTGAGGAATCTCATCAGTGCTGATGGTCTGTCTGGTGAATGACGAAATCTCAGCATGGATACCACAAGGCTCGATTGGCTTTTGCCAACTTGCGTCACTTATGACGTGTTGGTGAGATATTTATCTGCTAATCAAACGACGAGTCTACTGTGCATCAGTTCACTCCGAACTACTTTATGGATGCGAAATATGGTTAGTCAGAGTAGGAGAAATTCGTACGTTGCTGGTCTTCGATCATCAGTGTCTCCAACACATTGCTAGTGTATCCTGGGACAACCGAGTAAGCCATTCTGCCGTCCTAGGTAAGGGTGACAGGTCAATAGATGAAGTATTAAAACGTCATCAGTTGAGGTGGTTGGGACATGTGTTACGTATGCCTAACTACCGACTGGCTCTTTGAGCTATGCTTCGCGATGTAGGAATAGGTTGGACGAAAGCTAGGGGCGGCCAAACCAAAACATGGCACAAATCCATGAAGTCACTGATAAGTGGACTGAGTCATGTTGGTAGATGTAGACTACCTGGTTGGGGTCCACGAGATGATAGTAATCGATGGTTAGAGACCATGAATGACATGGCTCAAAATCGTTTGCAATGGCACAGGTGCATGCATTCTTTCTGTTCTCCAAAATCTTAACCTTCTGAGTTCCTCATCACCTTTATCTTTTTCTTTATAAGTTTATTTCACTGGACTCTACTTCTTGAATAACATCTTCGAACCCTAATTTCTCCGATTACTTCTAATACTTTTACTACCTCTCCTACTATGGGATTCGAATTGACAATTCCATCTCTGTGTGCTAATGTGGTATGGTAACTTGAGCTGCTTTACTTACGTACAAAGTTCTATGTGGCTGTTGATGATGATCATGATGATCATTTATACAGAAGATATTCAAGAAAAATTAATAATAAACTGCACCAAAAGATTTGATTTGTAAATTAGTTTCACTCATCATGTTAGTGATTTGCTAATTGGCGTTTTCAAAAACAGGAATCTAGTTCGCGAAAAAACAAACCAGATTCTTACAACTGACAAAGAAATCAGGAAAAAGCTCTGGAGGTGGATAGGACACACACACATTATGAAAAGCACCCAACTGCATCAGGAGGCAAAATCCCTTACTAGGGATTTCTCAGAGCCACCAAAGGAAATAAGTAAGACGATAGAACACATTACGTAAGAATTGGAAGTCGATATGAAAAGAGTGAACAGCAATCGGAACTAGAACTGGAAACGAAAGCGGAATCGAATGTTAACCGGCGCCTTAGGCTCCATTACGTGTAACAGACGTAAGTAAATATATCCTCTTGTTCATATTTAGTACAGGTGGACACTTGAGCTATGATCGTTGTAGAATACAAATCTTGAATTCCACTGTTTTAATTATATTCCATTTATTCTCAATCAACATTCATAAAATGTTCAAAAGTAGTTAAGAGAGAGAGAGGGTGTGTGTGTGTTTACTGTTTACAATTCAGTCAGTCAGTCAGTCAGTTGCAACGTAGAACTTCGTACGTATGTACATAAGTTCATGTCGCCATACCACATTAGCACAGAGACGCAAATGTCAAATCAAATCCCATAGTGATAAAGATAGTGGAGGTATTAATAGTAATGAAGAAGACTAGGGTTCGAAGATATTATTCAAGAAGTTTAATTCAGTGAGATAAGGTTAGAAAGACAAAGGTAAAGGTGCTGACGAATCCAGATTAGGATTTGAGAGAACACAAAGAATGGATGCACTTGCGCCATTGCAAACGATTTTGAACCATGTCGTTCAACGCCTCTAACCATCGATTATTATCATCTCGCGGACCCCAACCAGGTAGTCTACATCTACCAACATGACTCAGTCAACTAGTCATTGACTTCATGGATTTCTGTCATTCGTAACACATGTCCCAACCATCTCAACTGATGAAGTTTCACCACTTCATCGATTGATCTGCCATCCTTACCTAGTACTCGTTTCCTAACGACAGCATTGCTTACTCGGTTGTCCCACGATACACGAGCAATGCTTCTAAGAAACATCTATGATCGAACACTGTTTACAATTATTTCTAATAATTACCTGAATTATGAAATTCAAAAATAAACAGTATTTGTTTTCGATATGTCAATATATATGCACATATATATAAGTATGTTAAATAACATAATAACTTACCGGTTTTCGACATTCCAACTGCTAGACAACGTTGAAATCGACAACTTTTACACATATTTCTATTTGCCGGTGTAATTGGACAATCATTATTGCCAAGACATTCTAAACGTACATTAGATAAAACAGTACGTCGAAAGAAACCCTAAAAAAGAGGAAGAGAATCCAAAATAAAATAACATTTAAGTTGATGATTGATTCGTTTTTTCTGGACGCATATCACATTAGTACACAGACGCAACCAGCAGTTCAAATCCATAAATGGTAACGATAGTAGTAGAAGTAGTATTAGCAGTAACCGTCAGAAGATTAAGGTTCCAAGATTATGATTCGAGAAGCATAATTCAGTGATATACATTTAGAAAGCGAAAGAAAGAGATGATGAGGAATTCAGAAGGTTAGAATCATCATCATCATCATCAACAGCGACGTAGAACTTTGCACGTAAGTACAGCAGTTCAAGTTGTCATACTACATTAGCACAGAGATATAATCGTCAATTCGAACCCCATAATAGTAAAGGTAGTAAAAGTATTAGAAGTAATCGGAGAGATTAGGGTTCGAAGATGTGTTATTCAAGAAGTATAATTCAATGAGGTAAATTTAGAAAGAGAAAGATAAGGGTGATGAGGAATTCGGAAGGTTAGGATTTGAGAGAACTTAAGTTAAACAAGATAGTACATGGTGTTTGTCATATGTTATATTTCATTTGATAAACAAGTCGAACATCATAATAGAATATTAGTTTCTATGATATTTCAGCCAAGACTTGATAGTAAATGTGAACTAGCCTAAAACTTCTGTTACCAAACCGATGTTCAAACCACTTAGACAAGTAATCACCACAGCCTAATTTGATCGATAGAATGTGACCACCAGTAGTAACTGACTGAGAAACTGATTATAACTCACTGATCATCAAAAAACGATGATCATTGTTCGATCAACAACAAACACCATTAGAAACCTGGAAGCACCATTGAAAGACAACCCATTCTTTGTGCTCTTCCAACTTCTAATCTAAACTCTTCATCACCTTCATCTTTCTCGTTTCGAATCTATCTGATTGGCTTAGAACTTCTTCAGTAATATCTTTGGACCGTGATCGATCCAATCACTGCTCATACTTCTACTAACCCTAACCACGATGGGATTTAAATCGACAATTTGATCTCTCTGTGCTAATATAGTATGGCAACTTGAACTGATGTACGTAAGTATGTACGTTCGAAGTTTAACATTGCAACTGACTGACTGAAAAACAGACGTTTCAACCTGTTATAAGACTCATCAGTGTGACTATGAAATAACACAGACATTAACAAAGAGAAGTAACATGACAAAGGAACGAAAATCGAACTGTAACAAATATTGAATTAGAATGATACAATTGGTATGTTGTTTCAAAGGTCTAACTATTATTCTTCGTGTCTATCAATCAGATGACGAAAGCAATGATGTTGTAGTATATGTAATCGTAGTTTAAAAATGGAGATGTGTTAATAAATCTATTTAAACTGAGTGTAATAAATGAACCAATTAAATTGATTGATTAAAACAAAACCAAAAAAAATCAAAGTGTATCAATTAAATCAAACACACACACACACGGAAAAAAATTGAACATTGAAGCATTGCTGAATTTGTGAATGTTCAATAAAAAAAATGATGGTGATATCTGTCCGTTTCACTTCACGATCAAAACATTACACTACACTACACTACACTAAACTAGGAACATTTTCATAAACAGTGAACAATTATTGATCGATTTATTGACAAAATTGTTTTAATTTACTATTATTATTGTAACTTTAAAACACAAAAAAAACTGTATGAAAACATAAATGTGATCTATCAGTCCTAGTAACTAAGTGACATGGGTTCGAACCCTATAACTAGTTAGCATTGTCTAACAAATAATTATAAATAGTGTTTTGATAAATCGATTTTTATAACCCGTACGAAAATATCACTTAAAAATAACTGGAAAAGAGAGTTTAGGACACAGAATTGGTTAGCAAATCGTGGTCGGTAGCCAATGCTCCAGAAAAAGTCACAGATAAGTAGATTTGAGAGAAAGACAGATGAAACAACACAACATTGTTTGTCATAATAAAATTATTCAGTGTGGTGTGAATTCATCAGCTGTTTGGATTATCGATTCGATAATCAATGCAGTCAAAAGTTTTACAAGTACACATAAAATCATGTACATTAGAAAGATAAAAATACATTTTACTGAATATAGTATTCAGAACTTAAACGTCTAAGGAGGAAATTGTCATCACAGTTCGAGAGTATGTCACCTGATAGATATGGAGAGTAGTTATATTAAGAGGTGTAGGAAGGAATTGATAGTGACCAATTTGGTATCGTGTGCTTTTATGGATATAGGGGTTGAAATCACTTCCGAGAAGCCTATATCGTGGAAGAATATTTCTTGGGGAACCTAGAAAAGGAAGTTAGATAAGCATCGGTCTTGGAGACCTTGGAGAGTGAACTACAGCACCCAAGGAACAACTGCTTGACGTTGCTCACAGATAGCTTTTTTATGGGAAGTTTTGGAAGCGTTAGCTCCGCTCCTCAAATGGCTTTGCCACCGGAGACCGAAATCTGTGAAGTAATATGAGGTTTGAAGTTATTTTTGAGTCGATTTTTTCTAACTACTTCCTTTCTTGTGAGAAGGCAGCATCGCTGCGGATGCTGGTTGGTTATCTGAGGGAAACAACTTACTGCTATCACACCTCTCAGAAGTACGACTTCGTCCTCAGACTCTAAATCGCTGCTTTTAGTCTTACTGTTCTCCTATCGGTCCGTCTAGCAAGATAAGAGCTAAAGGAACGTATGTTCCGGCCAATATAGCTGGATTGTGTCATCATGATAGGCAAGCCCAACGAACACAGTCAGCCGAGATACGGAGAACACACACTAAATGCTATAAATACATTCAAATCGATCAACAAACAATTTAACTCTCTATTTTATTACAATTCATTAAAAAACTATGCAAATTCGAGAACATAAATCTGACATTAACTAGTGAATATTAAAATATTTGGTTAAAATTTTCATCCCCCCCCACCTGGTAATTACAGCCCTAATCTATATCTTGACCTCAATCAATGTTCAAGATATTTATTACAAGGTAATTTTTTTCAGTAGTCAATATGTTGTACCTGACAGTTTGCAATTTTTTTCAGGTATTTATTTGTTGTACATTTTTGTTGACTACATGTTACAGCACATAAAAGTGTAATTAATTCTTTTCAATGAAGATTGATTTTATTTCATCATTCAAACGATTATTTTCACTGTTTTCCTATGTGTATTTTATCTAGCATACTGCTGGGTGGGATAAATTATGCAAAGAAGCGTTTATCCCCCCCCCCCCCAAAAAAAAACAACAACGAATAAGTAGTAAGACTCGACTTATGTTCATTAAATAGATTGTTAATTAACTCCGCCAGTAGAACCTTAGGGGCTACTGCCGGTCCCAAGCTCGGATAAAGGAGGAGGGTTGGACATGGGGTTGGCGACCCCATTCCGTCGAAATCTAACTTGCCAAAACAACGCTAACCAGAAAAAATTAATCCAAACCATTTTAACTCTGCCCTGTCAGTTGGAAGAAGAATTATGACATCGCGTGATGAAAGCCGAGTTCCCTCGGAAGTCACGGGGCCGACATTCTAAGAATATCACTCGGAATGATTAGAAAACCTTGTCAAAACTGCAATTTTTAAACCACAATTAGAAACCTGGACGGCGCTTCCATCTTAGTATGGGACACATCACTCACGATCACCACTCGCGAGAACCAATGCCAGGATCTTCGGCTTCACTCGCGAACACTACTTAACCTTTAGACCACTGTGCCGGCATTCAACACTGTAAATGTCTAACTAACTACATGATGAAGATTTTCCGAGTCCTAAAGGGAAATCGTGATCAGTGGAGTTCAACCTGGTCAAGTGTGAAGCAGTGCCTATCGAAGACAATCGATGAAGTCGCGTAAGCCCGTAGACTGTTCGAAGTTAGACATTACCACCAGTGGCTGGTGGCTCAGTGGTCTAGAGGTTAGGTATTATTCTCAGGTGAGAATTAAGGTTCTGGGTTCGATTTCCGTGCGCAAGGGCCGTAGATGCGCACTGCTGATGCGCAGTATCATACTAAGACGAAACGGCCTTCCAGGTTACTAATGGTGGTCTAACATTGATCGAATCATGATATCAATAAAACTCAACAATCTCCACAACCGTATAATAAAGACTTCTTTTATAGTAACGACACTTATATTTCAACAGAAATTATTTACATTAATGAATTTCTATAGATTTAAACGTATCTTAATCATTCAAAAAAATTAAACGTATAGGTTTATAACTCAGTGAATAGAAAACTATGAACTGAAGGTTGAATTCATTGTTTTCTCTAGTCAGTTTGTTTATATACTTAGTCAACTGTATACTTAAATTTGATTGGACAATTGTAATATTCAAAGAATAACAGCTGCTGGCCATTATGATACAAGTTTACATAGAATGTGGCTATATCGAAGCAAGCCGCATAGGATACTCATATGCCAACCAAGACTGATCCAAATTTCAGTCAAACTATTAATAACGTAATGATTCAAATCTCATATCAGTCGCATAAGTAAGTAGCTGTTTGGAGCTATCAATCAGTAAAGCGGATAACGCGGTGTCGTTTGGATCCCGAAATAAACATCAACTCTGAAATGTAAATACAACTAGCTGACAAGTTACGAATAAGACGAAACATGTGTCTTTGATTCCACTGCTAGTCGTCACAATCCATCTATTTTATGTACAAACTTGTGCCTCAATGGTAATCCACATAGGATGTCCTTTTGTCAAGACTGACTAAACTTCGAACCCAAGACTAAAGGTTTTGAGTATAATTCCTGTGAGCAGCAGAAGAGGTGGATGTGCACCAGTGTTGAGTTTGATACCAGAACAAAACGGCTATCTTTCAGTGCTTCCAGGTTTCTAAATTATAATATTCCTTATTTGTACCAAATTCAAATCTGCCGAGTAGTAGTTGTTCACCGCTAAACTCCTTATCTAACACACAAGCACAAAAAAGCATACATAATCTTACAGTTTAAATGCTTTAATAAGTCATGACAACCTTTTAATCATAATTAAAGTACAAACCTCATCTATTATTATATATCAAAGGAATCTATTGCTTCCTAGGTCAAGGTTATGTCACTTAACTAGTCTTCTTTGTCTGTGTCAGTGAACAATGAAAAAAACCTATTCCACATTGTTGTTTTTTTTTAACACGATGAGTTCATCGAATGACCCAGATAAGAAGACAAAACGATAGTAAAACAACGAGTACAAACAAACAGACATACGCACACACACCCATACATACAAACTAACAAAGGTCATCATGATGAAAACTACACAAAGGTCATGTCTTTTTACACGAGAAATGACCTTAAGTAAGAACAAACAACATTAGAATGCAATAAAAGTTCATTTGAGAGAAAATTCAAAATGTGACTAATCGTGAACTAATAATTCTAAATTAAACTATGGGTTTATAAGAAACCGAAGAAATTCTGGACAAATGTTTCATTCTAACAAATATGACAAGTACTCAATGATCCCTACTACTTACTGGTGACTGTGAATTGTCACGGCAAACGCATAACCTTCAAAGCTAGTGAGTTGATCAATTAGGGCATTCCTTAGAGTTCAGTCATCATAAGATATCATTTGGAAGTAAACTGTATCACACTTAACAATAGTTTAATTCCTTTTGAAATCAAGACTTCTCAGTAGAATTCTAGAAATTGATCACTACAACTCTTTGTGATTATTACCATGTACAAATTCGTAAAGATTTTTGAATAATCAAAAACATTATACACAAAGTTAAACAAACAACCCATGAATAGAACAAGTAAACTCCGAAAAAGCAACTTATAAACTACTGTAATAAAAAAACAAACAATTTGGTATCGCATGCGAACGCTTAACCCCTAGACCACTGAGCCAGCCCAGCATCCAGTGATGTTAATATATAGTTTTGATCAATTCCACAGTATTGCGGGCCATCTCAACAAAAGGTTAAGCGTTCACACTCAAGATCATAGGTCATGGGTTCGATTCTTGCGTTGCAGTACGCACTGCCACTGATGAATACCATAGTGAGACGAAACGGTCGAACTTTCAGTGCTTCCACGTTCCTAATAGTGGTCTAACAATGATCAATTGGTCATTTCAATAAGTACCTCAACAATTTTCACAAGTTTATCATAAAAACTAAAATTTAATCATTTGATATTTGTCGATTTCAAGTAAATTCCATTTATATTTACGCATGTAACAGAATAAAATTAGTCTACTCTACTGACATGATAAACAAATGTTAACATTAAAGAAAACGAGATCCAAAAATTTCACTGAAATCATGAACTACTCAATGGTAGGCACTTATTGAAAAACATGCAAACACTGGTCAGCCAATTTAGTCTTAATATAGATCTCCTAAGAGAAGCGTACCCACAACCCAATAGGCAGGAATTAAATCTAAGACTTTCAATTTAGGGCACGAACGCCTAACCTTTAAAGTATTCATTGGACAATATATACATATATATATATATATATATATATATATATATATATATATTACTTAAATGTTTGAGTTATTTTAGATTCGGTAGTTCAGTCTCTCAGAACCCAATGCAACTTGCAAACCAAAAAAATAAATTGTACTACAAGCATAGAGGTTAATTAACTAGTAATTATCTAACGACTGAACTACCTATCCACTCTACATAAATAAACAATATACCTAATTCTGATTTGCCTGAAATTATACATACATATATATATGTGCGCGTGTTATGTACTGAGTACCTTATTGTATATTCATATCGACGGTAGAGTTAAATAGATGAGTTTTGAGATGGTAGAGAAAATTTGTAACTCAGGTTGATGAATGACTGTGGTGGTTTTTCGTTCTGTGAGTTGAGAATGCTTTGGTTGTAGAGCTTTCTTTATTGTTCTTCTTCTGAACAACATCATCATCATCATCATCAGCACAAACTTCAAAGAGAAGTCTGATATTTACAATGTATATTATTATTGATGAAATTAATGTAAAAGAACTTTATGACAACCATACATTCTCATAATAGGATAGATCTACGTTTCGTCCGTAACGAGACTCATCCAGTGAGTATACAATTAGGCTGGTAAAGAAGCTTAACAAACAACTATATTAAATACCTTATTTTGTGATAGAATTATTTGAAAGAGTATATAATTATCAAGTAACACATTGTTTACAAATTACTTGTAAAATTTTACGTGAAGAGAGCAGCAAAAACAAACGCACACACACACACGCATACAGCAATGTACTCACTTTGCAACCTTCACAAGTTAATGCACCAAAATGAAAACCAGAAGATGGACCACTGCATACACGACATGGTATTTGAGATATATCACAGCCAGCTTCACCACCGGGAGCTATATGAATGAATAATGAAGGCATAGAGAAAATAAAATAATTAAAGGAAATAGGTTGGTAATGGAAAGTTAACTAATTCAATTATGAATTGAGAAATCAATAGTGACAATCGCATTAAAAAAGAAACATTTCGTTTGTACATCAAGTTACTTACACCTGAAACTCCTAATGGATCACAGGCCACTTACTAGTATTCTTCAACCTACTCTGTCCTGGATCTCCCTTTCCAAATCGGTACAAACGTTGTTCATGCTACACATGTCTATCTCCATTTCTCGGCGTAATGTGTTGCTCGACATTCAGCTTTTCCTTTGTCATTGAGGGTTTAAAATGAGGGTTAGTGTTATGATGTAGTTGGGTGCTTTTTCTCAATATGTGTCCTATCCACTGCCAGCGCCTATTTTTGATTTCCTCCTCCACTGGAATCTGGTTTGTTCTTTCCCACAGTAGACTGTTGCTGATAGTGTCTGAATGACATGGCTAAAAATCGTTTGCAATGGCTTAGTTGCATCCACTCGTTGTGTTCTCTCAAATTCTAATCTTCTGAATTCGTCATCACATCTGCCTTTCCCTTTCTAAACTTATCTCACTGAGTTTTACTTCTTGAATATTATCTTCAAATCCTAATCTTCTTCATTAACAGTAATGCCTCTACTATCTCTACCACTATGGGATTCGAATTGACAATTGCGTCTCTGTGCTAATGTGGTGTGGTAACCTGAACTGCACGTTCTGACATCAACCAACATTGAGCCATCATTGAGGTGATGATTAGAAATACGTCACCTGCCTCAGTCAATGAAGATTCACCAGCCTATCAACTTGATTTGTTATCTTTCTGAATACTTTATACCTCTGAATTGTTTACTCAGTTGTTCCTAAAGAATGTTTCCAAGTCACTTCTGATCAAATACATCTAGTTTTATAGACCATCATACTAGACTTTACTAGTAAATATACTTATACGTAAAGATTGTTCTGCAATATACTAGCTTTTTCATTAACAGACAAACACCTTGTCTACAGAAGAATTATTAAACTGTCATTATAGGGTTGTAAATATTGAGTTTCATGAAAAACAGGAATTGATCAAAAGCACTCTTTAGTGCTTCCAAGTTTCCAAAGATCTGCCATGGATCGGTTCATGATAATAACGATGAAATTCACCAATCTCCACAACTTTATAATGACAATTATCATGTGCTCACTAGTGACTAGCTCAGTAAGGGAGTCCCTCAGAGTTCTAGGGCGAAGCTGTAACTAATGGAAGTCAGCAGTGTCGAGTGTGAACTAGTAGTTAGCTACTAAAGACAATGGACAATGGATGGAAGGAGAAATTAACAGAACTAGATTCCAATCCAATAATCAAAAAGTTAATTAAGTGTTCCTGCACAAGACTAAAAGTCCTATGTTCGATGATCGCTTGCGAAAGTCATGTATTACTGCACACTACTGATGAACTAACTTTACAACGGGACGAGACAGCCGTCCAATGCTTCTAAGTTTCCGATGATGGTATAACACTGATCGATTCATGATTTCAACGAAATCACTAAATTAACTTATTCAATTCATAATTGCATACATACGCTTGCGTAATAATATGCTTCAAATCAAAATTTTTTGTACGACAATTTAAACACAGAATAAATGAATTCAATAATTATTTCATTGAAACGAATATAATAAGTGAATGGGAGTGAGTGGACAACAATGAAAATTTTTTTGAAAAAAATATTGAAATCAAATTAAAATCTAAATTTTAATTTCCAATGGAATTCAGGTAGTGAATGAATTTATGGTTGATTTAGCTAGCCTGTTCATCAACAACATTCAATAATTACGATATCAAGTTTTAAAAATTCATTCTACATATACTATTTCCATTTTTTTTTTTCATTTAACCACAGACAGATAGAATCCGATAACCAAAATAAAACAAGTTTTGAATGTGTGTGTGTGTGTGATTAATTGATTGATTGAAAGTGAAGAAAGAAGTGTTTCAAATCATTACGCTAAGAATTTTTTATTTTATTTCGGACATCAACAACAACCACAAAAAAATGTTGGCAACAATTGAACAGGAGAAAAAGAATAAGTTTCAAAGTATCATTGATTATTTTTATTATATGTGAATGAGGCAGATATTAGTTGATGAATATAAATTATCTTTCCAAAGATCAGATTTTTAAAACCTAAATGAATTTGCTGCCGGCTCGGTAGACTAAGCGTTCGCGGGCAAGATCATAGGTCCTGACAAGTGGACTGAATCATGTTGGTAGATGTAGACTACCTGGTTGGGGTCCGTGAGATGATAATAATCGATGGTTAGAGACCTTGAATGACTTTGCTCAACATCGTTTGCAATGGCGCAAGTGCATCCATTCTTTGAGCTCTCTCAAATCCTAATCTTCTGGATTCGTCAGCAACTCTACCTTTGTATTTCTAACCTTATTTCACTGAATTATACTTCTTGGATAATATCATCAAACCCTAGTCTTCTTCGTTACCATTAATACCTCTACTATCTTTATTACTATGGGATTTGATTTGACATTTGCGTCTCTGTGCTAATGTGGTATGGCAAGCTGAACTTATGTACATACGTACGAAGTTCTACGTTGCAACTGACTGCCTGACTGACTAGGTCCTACGTTCGAATACTGCGAGTAGCAAGGTTCTATGTTCGATTCTCGCTTGCGGAGTGTCGTAGATGCGTACTGCCACTGAGGACGTCTTTCAGTGCTTCCAAGTATCCGAAGTAATTTATACTCGAAATAACCGCTTTTAAAAAAAAACTAAAGCCTAAGATATTTTGGTGACTCCACAACAACGCAAAACGAATGAATGAATAAACACACATTGTATCGACTAGATTTAACCGATTCACAAATATTTTTACACATAGAAATCAGGAATTAATCAATGTTAGATCACCATTATAAATCTGCAAGCACTGGATGGTCGTTTCATCCTGGTAAGGGACTCATCAGAAGTGTGCAGTCACGACTCCTGCTACTCGCAGCATTCGGACCTAAGATCTTCAATTTTGTGCGCGAACACCTAACCTCTGAACCAGAAGGCCGGCATCGAACGGTGTTAATGTCTTGGGTACGAATCCTGCGAGCAGCAGGAGTCGTAGATGCGCACTACTGCTGATGACTGGTATACCAGGACGGCCGTGCTTCAGTGCTTCCAGATTTCTAATGGTAGTCTAAACAATGATTGATTCATGATTTCTATGCAAAAAAACCATGATCTTCATTATTCTAATTGAAAAATTTACAAATATAATTTATCAACCATTGAATCATCGTTCTATTTAGAGTTAATAAATAAATAATTAATTAATTAAACCATAGTGTACATCACATGTACTATGTGTAGGCGAGTGGGTGTGAAGGAGTGTGTGCGCGTGTGTGTGTGTACGAATACCTACACACACACACACACACTGAATTAACACTCCAAAGAACCGGCATCACTAGTTGTTCATTGTGTAGAGAAAAAAAAACAACATACAATCACTTGTACTAATTCATTGATCCGATTCAATTTTAAACAATCACATTGACAAAAATAGGTTGTATTACCAAAAAAAAAGAAAATAAAATCCAAACGAAACAACATGTTAGAAAACAAACAAACAAACAAACAGGTACACCAAACAATTCACTGTCATGAATAATAATACGCACACACATACACACACACATTGATGGAAAGCTAAAGAAATGTCAAAATCAAATCACCTACAATAATCGATAATCACCGAATGAATGCCATCGCTACTACAACAATAACAACAACAAAAACAAAACAGCTACTACTACTATTAATACTACTCATACTACTACTACTACTAATGTCCATGATCTAGTTCGTGACCTCATGATTTACTGGACGTCAATACACAATCACTCACACACACACACACAAACAAACAAACAGAGGATGGCACGAGAGAGATAGCGAGAAACTAAGTGCATCAACACACAGAGAGAGATACACGTAAAAGAAGAGCAGAACAAATTAAGTAAACAAATATAAATCAGCAAACGAAAGAAAAAAAACATTGCTACTACTACCACCACTCTACAACAATTCATTCACATAAGAGAGATTAGTTAGTTAGTTAGTTAGTGTGGTAAACAAACAAACTAGTTCATGAAATGAATAAATAAACAGATAAATAGCCAGAGCAAGTAAACAGATGGAGAAATAACAATAACAACCACCAATAATCGATCAATAAACGCATCACGACAGTAATAATAATAATAATAATAATATTGATTGTCTCTCTTCTCCTAAATTCTCTGTCTCCCTGTCTTTCCCTCTCTGTCTCTCTCTATAGAAGTACTATCATCTATGCGTTTATGGGAATGAAGCAATGGGATTAAGAGGAAAAGAGTTCTGTTTTTTATTTGTTTGTTCGCTTTGAAAAATGACAATATAATCATCGATATGGTGGTGTATTGGTTGCGATAGAATGCGTTAGGTTATATTATTGTAAGTTCCGTGTCGACTGCTTCAATTATTTCAGGAGTCTTATCAGTGATGATCGCCTGGTGAATGATGAAATCTCTGCCAATTTACGCTGTTTATGGCATAGGTGAGATATCCGTTCGTTGACTAAAGGACAAGTGTACTGCGCAGTAGTTTGCTCCGTTCTCCTATATAGATGCGAAACATTGTCGGTAAGAGTAGAGGACATTCGTAGGTTACTAGTATTTGATCATAGATGTCTTAGAAGCATTACTCGTATATCCTGAGACAATCGAGTGAGCAATGCTACAGTTAGGAAACGAGTACTAGATACGAATGGCAAATCAATAAATAGATGAAGTATTGGAAATTAATAAGTTCAGGTGGTTGGGACATATGCTACATATGCCCAACCATTGACTGACTCATCGAGTTGTGTTTTGTGGTGTAAGAGTAGATTGGAAGAAAGCTAGGTGCACCTAGACCAAAACATGACACAAATACATGAAGT